AAAATTATTTTCGTTGCTACTCTATAACTGTAATTTTGCTACTGTTATGAATCATAATGTAAATATCTTTTTGTTTTCCGATGATCTTAGGTGATCCGTGTGAAAGGGTCGTTCGACCCCCAAAGGGGTCGAGACCCACAGGTTGAGAACCGCTTCTCTAGTGGTTTAAAACTACTCAGTGGTGGCTTCTCATAGGCTACGTTGTGCTTTCTCATCTTTGGTTTTTCAAATTCAGTTCCCTCCTCTTCCCTTCCCCACTCTATCTGGTGAATTTCAGTGCCAGTGCAGTCACAAATCCTAGTAAAGAAGCTTGGCGGAGTAACTTAGTGGTTAAGAGTTCAGACATTGCCATCAGACAGATCTGGTCAAATCCTGACTCTGCCATTTGTGTGATCTTGAGCAAATGACTTAACTTCTCTGAGCTTTTAGTTCCTCATCCATAAAATGAAGGCAATAATATCAATCTCACAGAGCTCGTCTGAATATTTAATGAGCTGTGGAAAGCCCTTAGCATAGTGATATGCAGTAAGTGCTTAAGAAATAGAAGCTGTTATTGTTTATTATTTTTGATGACTGCAGTGTAAAAATCTAGAGCGTGGTGAAGTTTTTGAAAAGAGTTGTAAAAAAATGGTTTTACATAGTTGGAAATGGAGGCAGAGAAATGAGAGGGAGAGAGATCTATCTGGCTCCAACTGAAACAATAGCCCACGGCTTCAGGCAGGGCAGGTTAGTGGTCAAGAGTGTGTGTCTGTTGGACTCGCTGAGTTCAAATCCCTTCTTTGCTACTTACTAGATGCATTGCATTGGGCAAGTGACCTCTCCTATAGAGCCTCAGCTTAGAAAAGTAGGATTTGCTAATAGTGTCAAAACCTTACAGGGCTATCCTTACAAGACACACAGTGCTGGCACAGAGTCAACAATCAGCAGTTCAGGTCTCATGGCGCTCACTTCCTGGAAATCTGTCTAATTCAACATCTAAGGCTGGAAGGAATGATGCTCATAAGGACTAGGAAAGGGCTTAGTCATGTTCAGTGGATAGAGAATAAAACAATCTCCAAATGTGAGCCCTTTCAACACGGTGCTTTATTGGAGGGTACAGTGTAAGGTGAAAGCCATAGGGAGGATGCTTTCCAGGGGCAATACTCAGTCCTCGCAATACTCCT